CAATTTACAATAATTGGATATATATTGTGGATTCTATGAAATAGCGATTGGAACGAAAGCTCGTACAATGTCGGTTATCGATAATGTGTACTTGAATTACTTGTGCTTACAAATACAATTTATAATTCGGAGAGAAATTCGCGAATTCCCCTTTTATACGCCTGTTTGTGGACAGGTCACAATTTGTATCCGATTTTGACGAAATTTACAATATAGGTGTATCTCCCAAAGTTCTCGGTTCCTTTAGATATTGGCATGTAATGGACCATAACTTCATGGATTATGGCCCCTTATGGTACGAAAAATCACGTTTTTAGCTTGTGGACAGGCTAGAGGTCACAATTTTCATCCAATTTTGATGAAACTTGGAATGCATGTTCATAACTAGTGATGTGCGGTTTTTAAATTTTCTTTCGGTTTCGGTTTTTCTGTGGCAAAAAATCTCGGTTTCGGTTTCGGTTTTTTTTTATTCATTTAAACACTGTATTATGAATGTGCTGATTTATGGTTATTTTATAGGAATACTTGGAAGCTAGAAAAGATATCAAACATATTGATGTAAATTGTAAACAACAAGTTTTTTTTACTGATATATGACTTTAATTTTGACTAGTAAAAACAAAGTTATTGTAAAAAAAAGATCTGACAAACTTTGTGAAACACAACACCATAATAATTAATTAATATAATGACATATTACCAATAACAATAAAGTTACTGTAAAAAAAAAAGATGCAGCAGAAATATGTTTTTTACAAAGATTACATCTACATTATGTGTCATCTAATCTTCCATAGTGAGCAAGCCATGGAGACATTTTACTTTTAGGGGAAGTCATCGTGCGTTATTGACAACCGGCTTAGGCTTGTATAAAAGTTTGGATTATAAATCGAACCGAATTGAGAAAATAAATAGTCTAGGCCATCCAAACTTATTAAACACTCTATACATAGGGGTTTTGGTTGATCGAAAATAAAAACGGAAGTGGTGGCTACATTAAAATTTTGGAATTATTAAGTAAACTAAGTACGGCTACATAAAAATTAGGAATTTTTCAAACATTTCCGAAACGAAAAACAGGTAAATTAAAAATTAGGAATTTGGAAAAAATAAACCGAAACGCATGGTTTTGTTTTATCGGTTCGGTTTTCGGTTTATATGTAAAAACCGATACCGTACGGTTAAACGGAAAACCCCACATCACTATTTGTAACCCAAAGATTTTGGTTCCTTTTGATATTCGCGCATATCGGATCGTAAGTTCCTGGATGGTTGCACCTGATTGCAAAAAAAACCTCGCGTTTTTAGCTTGTGGTCCCTTTGTATTCGATTTAACAAAAACGTTTGAATATATCACCGTTACACACTACGATTTTGGTTCCTTTTGATAAAAGCGCATATCCGAACGTAACTTCCTGGGCCCTTATTCACGAAAACTTAAACTAAGATACAATCGAAATTTTAAGAAATGCTGCAATTCGATTGGCTGACCAGTAAAATCAATTTGCATATATCCAATGAAGTTGCAGTATTTCTTAGTTTAAGTTTTCGTGAATAAGGGCCCTTGATTATGGCCCCTGATTGTTCCAAAAATCACATTTTTAGCTTGCGGATTCTCTAGAGGTCACAATTTTTTTCCGATTTTAAAAACCGTATAAATATACCACCATTCCACCATAATGAAGGTTAAATTTTAATTTCGGGAAAATTGAAATGAAACTGCCCAACAAAATGGCCGCTCTTTGTACGCAAATTGTGTAAAAGTATGTAATATGAAGGTTGTGGAACTCTAGCTCTAGAGGTCACAATTTCTAGATTATTGCCCCTGATTGTACAAAAAATCGTGTTTGTGTTTAGCTTGTTCTTTATTCATCTCTTGCAAAATGGAGCGTATCCTGCCTGACAGCCGCTGGTTAATTCTGGAATAACCGACTGCATGCACTCTCGCAAGTCTATTATTACAGTGTGCATATCCCCAACTTCTAAATCAATTGAATCAAATGTCAGACAGAAATGCATGATAAATTGAGACTACAAAATTTCCGAGGCGAAACTCGAAAAATCGCTAGTACGACAGCAAGTCAAAATGATAGGTCGTAAATAGCGCGATGTTTTAATTTCCTAAATTCTACTTTTCGAGTTGAATTTTAGCTTAGTATGCGTGTTGGCGCCTTCTTACTGACATCAATAAATACAAAAATATGACTAAGTCGAAAGTCGACAAGACGGTATACAAGCCAAAATGCAAGTCGAAAATAAGAAATTAGTAAAAAATGAGGGACGCTATTATCTCAGCCTATTATTTCTTAATTTTCGGGTCGATTTTGGCTTGTATAGCGTGCTGTCGCCTCACATTTTGTCGTAACTTCGACTTTTCGATTTTCGTGTTTTGAAGGGGCGAAAAGTAGAAATTACGAATGATAGTTATATAGGCTTCTATACTACTGCCACTATATTAGTCTATAATATGACTAATTCGAAAGTCAACAAGACGGTACACAAGCCAAAATGCAAGTCGAAAATATAAAAAATAACCAAAAAATGAGGGACGCTATTATCTCAGCCTATTATTTCTTAATTTTCGAGTCGATTTTGGCTTGAAATTACGAATGGTAGTTATATAGGCTTCTATACTACTGCCACTGGGTCGGTGTCTTTAGTTCTCCAAAAACAAAAAAGTTTGAACTGCTAACGCCAGAAAATAAGAGATAATGCGACTTGATGATCGGGATTCGTTTTTCCCGCGTATTTTTTATTCTTCTGTAAAGATTAGAACTATGCGAAAAATTCAAACTTCTACTTCTACCTGGTAGTGTCCACACTGATCCGCAGTGAATATTTGCTTGGCCGCGACAATCGCTGATAAGGATGACATTGATGCGGCTTAATGAGCTAGAAATATTAACTTTTTTCCTGCGACAAATTAAATTCTAAAACATTTTTTGTATATATTGGAAAAATAAATAAAGGCGTTTGACGTATTTGTAGGTAAAAATTATTTCCGATTTAGTGTAAATGGGTATTAAATTGACTAAAATGCAGCATTCTCTCCGAAGCAGTTATGTCTTATGTAAACAAAGCACTCGCCATTTAGCCAATGATTCACACCGCGTGCTGTGACAGCACGTGTTAAGACAGTCATCTATGACAGAGATATTATACGAGACTCGTAATTCTCTGTGAAACAGATTGGGTAGTGACACGGCGTGGGTTGCGTATGGCCAGCATGACGATGAAAGGTTAAGAACGGGGCGAAAAGTTAAAAACAGGTTAAAATATGACGTGGTGTCGATGCTCACAGAGCCCCAGACACCCTGGACTTGAAGATCTCGAGGGTGTCGGAGGATGGAATGTCTGGTGGTAAAGCATTCCAGTCTCTTATTGTTCTAGGGAAGAAGGATAATTTCTTGGTGTCATTCCTGGTAGATGGAATTTGGAAAGTTTGAGGGTGCATGTGTCTAGTTGTCCTATTTGATGGGATTAGCTTGTCTGTTGTGATATTAATGAGGTTGTTGTGGATCTTATAAAGCATAATCAGCCTTGCTTGTTTTCGTGTAATGTCCAGCGGAGTCCATGCTAAACGACATATTATGTCTGTTACACTAGCTGTTTGTGTGTAGTTGTTGACGACATATCTTGCGGCTCGACTTTGGACCATATCGATTCTTTTGATGTCATTCTGTAGGTGGGGATCCCAAGCTGCGCTGGCATACTCAACTGAGGGCCTCACAAGGGTCATATATGCTCTCTCTTTAATCTTTGGCGATCTGATGTTGAGATTCCCTTTTAAGAACCCTATGGTCTTGCTGACTTTGCTACATATGCTCTCGGCGTGATTGCTTCAGGAGAGATCTGAGCTAATGGTACATCCTAGGTATTTGGTACAGTCGATAGATTGTAATGTATGGCCGTGTAGCACATAGGGGTACCTGATTTTTCGTCTATTCTTGGTGATTGAGATGACCTGACATTTCTGTGGGTGAAAAACCATCCCCCATGCCCTCTCCCACGTCGCTAGTTTCGTCATCGTCATTTGTGATCGTGAGATAAACCATGGTGAAGTCGGCAAATAGTCCTACATTCGACTTTATTTCCTCTGGTAGGTCGTTTATATAGAATAGGAACAGACTCGGGCCAAGGACTGAACCCTGTGGTACTCCCGATGTGACAGCTATGGCGTCTGAGATTTCGCCATTCACCATGAGCGCTTGCTCTGTCTGAGAGACAGAAACGAAGAATGCTGTGTGCTAATAATAAGAGGATACGTCTATTTCAAATGCCATTTAAAGACATGTCTTCTATTCACTTAATTCATTGAATATTAGCTTATCTGTGTTAAATTCTTCTATAAAAATAATAATCGTCATGTTCGTCATTGATTTGTTGAATTCAGACATACATTTACACAAATTCAAAGAGCCGATCGAGTCAACAGTAACACACACGTAAGACTTATTTGTGGACTCGATAGTTATATTAGACTTAAAGATGCATTTTGTAACATTTTGGTAGAGATGAGTCGTTCTTACTATAATAGTTCAAAAATAGACAATGAAAAATTGATATATTTAGAATATTGTATATCAGTAACATTGCTACCCCAGATAGCAAGCTGATGTTAATTTTACGTCATAGTTACGCCATTTTGGTTAGATTTTTGTTGGCATCAGGTCGTGGTAACATTTACTCTCAAGTACCACTGCTACCCTAAATTGCAAGCTGATGTTAATTTTATGTCACAGTTATGTCATTTAGATTATATTTAGGTTAGCAGCTGATTGTGGTATGGTTTTACTGTCAAGTACTACACCAGATTGCAAGAGGACGTTAAATTTACGTCACAGTTACTCTATTTTGGTTAGCGTCTGATAGTGATAAATTTTGATTAATTTCACATTAGAATGGTTATAGTTACCTTAAGTGTTCGAAATATGACGTAAATCTAAAGTTATTTTTATGACAATTTTCTACTGAATCTTTTTTACTTTGAATATTTGTAGATTTATAAAGTTAGTATAACGTTTATTAAATTGCTTGGAATTGGCACGCATGTGAAAGATCCCTTGGCAGTTGGTTGGAATTCGAGATAAGAGCAGGTCATAGCGACGTGTCCATCTTCATTTGTGTAGTCGATGCAGAAAGGTAGGCGTTGAAATCCATTACATTTGATAATATTTCTTAAACAGTTTTAATTGAAATGGATCCATAAAATGAATACTGACGTGCTTCTTTGAAGATTGACTAAACAATATTCAACTGCAAGATACATAAATGTAGCATCAAGTTACTGATAATATTGTTTTTTTATTCGCCTTCGCCCACATTTTCATGTGGGCATGTATGGTCGTACCCCCTGCCCGTCGGTCCATAATTTGTTTGTAGAAACTGTAGGTCTACAGATCACAATATTTACCCCGTTTTGACGAAACTTATACATAGCTTTATCTCCTAAAGATCTCAGTTCCTTTCGATATTCGCGCATCGGACCATAACTTGCCCCAGATGGACCCTTTGGAGGTCACAATTTTTATCCGATTTTATATGGGTAATTATCTCGTGAGTGTGCATTCATGGTATCAGAGTTCCGAATTATTGAACCATCTCGAAGCGATACATTTTTAAGCTTTCATATTACATATGAAAGCTTATTGTTTCTGTTAAGATTATTATTGTTATTTTTTTTTTGTGTTTTGTCCACAAATCGGATTTCTCAGAATCTAACCATAGGATCGTTCTGAAACTTTTACCTATCCCCCCAAAAATGGGTGGTGGCTGTTGATTAAATATATTTTCAAAACGTTTTACGAATCCGAAATCACCGAATTTTACGAAGGAATGCATTTGACCTACAATGCTGTAACTTTGTGACTATTTGACCTATTTTACTAATTCTTTTTTCTTTGAGTATCTTGAAACATTTACTTCAAATCTGCAATTTCGGATTTTGGCATTTCGAAAATTCGTCGCTGTCATTTCGAACCGGAAGTTATTACCAATTTGACAACTTCTTTAATAGTTGTGCGATTTTCGTGAAATTTAGAATGTTAGTAGATCTTGCCAATGCGACTTCAATGATGTCCTTGGAAATTTTCTAAATTATCTCCCCTTGGTGAAATTAAGGATCAAAGTTTTCAAAAAAATCGTCGAAATATAGGTCAGAATGACCTAAAAAAAAATTCGATACTAGACAAGTAATTACTGATTCGTACACAAAATATGGAGTTTGTCGATCGAACCGGAAGTGCCACCATCTTTAAACGTGAAAAATCAAAAAGGCTTTTTTGCTATTTTACTTACAGACTCGGGCGTCATATTTTCGGAATCCTGGAAGGAATGCCTAAAAATCTATCGGATCAGAATTTTGATTTCGGTCACGTGATGGTCACCATTTTGAATTGAAAATGAAAAATAGAAGCAATTTGAAGGGCCGGGACTTTGGAACACAAGAACTCTCCTTCTAATTAAGCTAGAATGTTCAAACTTGGTGTAGGCGTTCACTAGGTCAATGTCATGATTGAGTTCAAAGATGAGCATTTTTTGCCTAGGGTAAGCAGAGATAAGCAAGCTGATTTGTTGATTCTTTAGGGCACGATGACATTGGTTATAATGAATGGAGGGCGATGAAACTCTTGTCAATCGAGAGGCTAATAGCTGGCCTGTTGTGTGAAATCATTGTATCATTTTTTGAAAATGTCCGGGGTAGCCGAAAAAAGGAGATCGAAATCCAAAAAGTCGTATTTTTACGATTTGGGGCATTTTTAGAGGTCGTGTAAAGTAAAATAAAGCATGCATATACATATATTATTGATATTAAATATATCATATAAAAAACTAAACAATGAATCAGCTGTCATTGACAGATTTTATATTATAAGCATGGTCAGTGGAAGGTCAGCGTATTGTCTAACTTGAACTCACTGACTCCGTAACATTATTGTGGGTATGGTATAAGCTGAATTTGATGAGATGCACATATCTCGTATGACTATTTGGTACTTACAGTGTTAGACTTTGTCATAACGTTACGGTCTCCATTCATCAAATCGTCGTTGGGGCTATAATACGATTTTGAATCAAGTTATTTATCACTGAGGGACTCAAAATTAGGTTTGATGTAGCTCTGCTCATTTTTCCTATTATTTTTTTTTTTTGTGTCATTTCTACAAATCGGATTTCTCAGAATCTAACCATAGGATCAATCTGAAACTTTGACCTACCCCCCCAAAAATGGGGTGCGAATGTTGATTAAATATATTTCCAAATCGTTTTTCGAATCCGAAATCACCGAATTTTACGAACAAATTCATTTGACCTACATTACTCTAACTTTGTAACTATTTGACCTATTTTACTAATTCTTTTTTTGAGGGGTGCCTTGAAACATTTACTTAAAATCTGCAATTTCGAATTTTCGAATTTCGAAAATTCGTCGCTGTGATTTTGAATTGAAATTTGAGATCAATTTGACAACTTCTTTAATAGTTGCACGATTTTCATGAAATTTAGAATGTAAGTAGATCTTATCAATGCGACTTCAAAAATATCATTAGAAATTTTCTAAATTATCTCCCCTTGATGAAATTAAGGATCAAAGTTTTCAAAAAATTCGACGAAATATAGGTCAGATTGCCTGATTCGTACACAAAAAATTGAGTTTGTAGTTCAAACCGGAAATGCCACCATCTTGAAATGTGAAAATTACATAAGGCTTTTTTGATATTTTACTTACAGACAAGGCAATTATATTTTCCGAATCCTTGAAGGAAAGCCGAAAAACGGTAGAGAACACAATTTTGATTTCCGGCAAATGATGGACGCCATTTTGAATTGAAAATGACAATTAGTGAAAAATCCACATTTATGGGCTTGAAAACATATACAATTGGTCGTGACCTAGAGAATATGTCTCCTATTACCGAAATTAATATATTTCAGGATAGCCTGGATCATGGTAGAACGTTTGGTATTTGAATATTTCAAAAATTTGAATTTCTCCTTTGATGTTTTTCGTGCCGACAGGGTTGTTTTCGAGTTAAGCTGGATTTGATTTCGCGCATGCGCTACGCTGGAACCAAAGGTACCATGAGTACTAAATTCCGGCGAGCAACTTTTCACGTTGGTACCTAGGTACCCTGAAAATTTCAAGGTGATACATGCATTCATTCAAGTCGTTTGTTCTTGTCACCTGCCTTTCGCCGTTAAATAAATATTGGTCACCGGGTGCAGCTGTACAACTTCAAGGACCCTGGCCTCAAGTCAATTTACGGCTTCCATGAGGGGAAAAAGTGGAATTTCGCCGTGACACCGGCACCGATTGTCCGAAAACCATGAAATTTGGACACAATACGCCCATTACCACCCCGAACTCTGTGCCTTACCCCCATTTTGATCCCATTAAAAAAAAAGAGTTTTAGCAAAAAAACGATTTTCATAATTTAATATTGGTTTTAACCCTGTACCCAGACAAGATATACATATTATTATAATCCCTATGAAATATTTTAATTATTTACTGCTATAATATGAATTATCACTTATTCCCCGTTAAATAAATATCGGTCACCGGGTGCAGCTGTACAACTTCAAGGACCCTGGCTTCAAGTCAATTTACGGCTTCCATGAGGGGAAAAAAGTTGAATTTCGCCGTGACACCGGCACCGATTGTCCGAAAACCATGAAATTTGGACACAATACGCCCATTACCACCCCGGACTTTGTGCCTTACTCCCATTTTGATCCGATTAAAAAAAAAAGAGTTTTAGCAAAAAAACGATTTTCGGAATTTAATATTGGTTTTAATTAATTTTGAAATTGCAAATGCAAAGAGATTTTATCGCCTCTTCTGTATGTGATAGGTATTGGTACTATACACATTATCCTTAAAAGACAATTTTTTAAAATGACCGTAACGATGTATCGACACTAGAAACCGAAATCGCCTATTTTGACCTTTTTTGACTGCTGAGGCATCCTTCCGGTGGTCCAAATCTCTGGAATTTCTAGCGGTTGGCTGCGCCGCGATGATATTTATCACATAGTAAATTGAGAAAATCCTCAGATATCAAGAAAAATAAAAATTCGATAAAATACGGCAATTTTTTAAGCAAAAAACCTTTGATTGTTGGGGGTGGGTTTTGAATTTATTTTGAACGTTCTCGGAATCCAACACTCTTCTATTTTTAATATGTGATAGCTAGAATCCCAAGGTAAATTCTGTGCAAATTTGAAGGCAATCGGAGGACAGGAACGTTGCCTGGGCAGAGCAAATCAACCCGGTCGCGGAAATTTGTTCATTCTTTAAAGTTATTATAATATTGTGTTCTGACCGCCATCTTAGATATACCGTCACTTACCAAACCACTCCGAAATATACCCAAAATCCCAAAATCGACCATAATTTCTTTTGACTTCGCGCATGCGCCGCGCTGGAACCAAAGGTACCATGACTACCAAATTCCGGCGAGGAACTTTTCACGTTGGTACCTAGGTGCCCTGAAAAATTCAAGGCGATACCTGCATTCGTTCAGGTCGTTTGTTCTTCACATGGTTCCTGCCGTTCGGCTTTTTCCGCGATTTACGGCTTCAGCAAGGGCGAAAAAAGAGGAATTTCGCCACGACACCGGCGCCGATTGTCCGAAAACCATGAAATTTGGAAAAAAAACGCCCATTACCACCCCGGACTCTGTGCCTTACTCCGATTTTGATCCGATTAAAAAAAAAAGAGTTTTAGCAAAAAAACGATTTTCGGAATTTATTATTGGTTTTAATTAATTTTGAAATTGCAAATGCAAAGAGATTTTATCGCCTCTTCCTTATGTGATAGGTATTGGTACTATACACGTTATCCTTAAAAGACAATTTTTTAAAATGACCGTAACGATGTATCGACACTAGAAACCGAAATCGCCTATTTTGACCTTTTTTGACTGCTGAGGCACCCTTCCAGTGGTCCAAATCTCTGAAATTTCTAGCGGTTGGCTGCGCCGCGATGATATTTATCACATATTAAATTGAGAAAATCCTCATTTATCAAGAACAATAAAAATTCGATAAAATACGGCAATTTTTTAAGCAAAAAACCTTTGATTGTTGGGGGTGGGTTTTGAATTTATTTTGAACGTTCTCGGAATCCAACACTCTTCTATTTTTAATATGTGATAGCTAGAATCCCAAGGTACATACTGTGCAAATTTGAAGGCAATCGGAGCACAGGAACGTTGCCTGGGCAGAGCAAATCAAAGGTTTCTTCGTCTTATGACCTTAAACACTGCGTATAAATTTAAAGTCAATCGGATATTAACAGCAAAAGGGGGGCGACGACAATATACGACCACATTTCAATGTGGGCCTATAAAAAGTAAATCATTGCCAATAGAAAAGACCCACCTTTCCCCCAACAACAACCATGTAATGCACTAGCTATAATGGGAATTTTTCTGGAACACAGCGAAATGGGTCTTTTAAAATGTTCACAAGTGTATCACAAGGAGGGTTTGCTTCTTCTCTATGGGACACCCGATACCACTTCTCAACGAGGAATTCAGTCACACAGCCAACACCATTTTGTATGTTTGTGTAATCTTTATTCAGTATAAATCAAGTAATACAAATAAAAAAATACTTGGATTGATGAAAACATAATTTTTGAGAGTTATTCATACATGTAGCATAACTGTTCTCATTTAAAAAATGTACATGATTACATGTTTGTCATTAACAACATTAAATAAACAATCATGTTTCTTCACCATAACAGTAACAGTATAACAATTGTATGAAATATATTTTCCTTTTTTTTTTATTTTTAGAAAGGCCACTTCCTTGGTTTAAAATATACCATAAATTGTAGTTATCTAACATATACTTCCATGTATGTTTATCTAACAGATTACCACGTCGTCTTATCTAACATACTCTGTATTTTTCCCCATCTTGTTTATAAGGTAAATGTTATTTTTCAGATACCTGATGACATTTATACTTATTGTTTCAATAGATTCTAATAACCCCCTTTGCAGTTAATATGAAAGCTTTCATATCTGCTATGCAGATCTAGTTGACTTTGTTTTGACAACTAGTATCTTCTACGTCCTATGTTATGAATTGACATGCAGTCTTTAGAATTAAGCTTTTAGTGGAACGTGTTTTACAAAATCTCAACACCGTAACGGTATTGTATAGTCAAAAAATATTTTAAATTAACCAGAAAACGCAAAAACATTCACCCTTCTGAAAAGATGAAGGGGATTACACTTCAAAAATAAAATTTCTTTTTATATCGTCATAATTTCTTTGCTGTAATTTGTAGTTTATACCACTTACCACAAATCGCTCCACATTTTGTAATTGTATTAAAGTGTAGAGCAATAAAAACATGATTTTGTATTTGATTTCTTGATTCAGAAACACAGACTGATCAATTAGTATTTCTGTCCGCTTATAAAATGTTTTTTTAACTTTAAGAAAAAGTAGCAATGAGAGATTTTACACTCTGTGACGGTGTTGAATTCCCGTGACGGTGTTGAAATTATGTGACGGTGTTGAGATAACATAATATGCCCTTATACGAAATGATAATGCTCAAAATGATATTTTTAAATTGGTGACTTTATATAATAAACAATAACCTTATATTAGATATTATAAAAAAAAGTATGTTTACATAACAGTTTGCTACTTTACAAAAAAATATATATATTAAACCTTTCAAGAACACGTAATTTATTGAACATTTTATTCCAGACACATCAAAACTCGTTGAATATTTGATCGATATTATCGGGAGCACATTAAAATCTTGATAAAAAATACTTTTAACACTAATTAATTATACGGTTGGCATAAAAACCATGCGGTTGGAAATAAAATGTATGGGAAGTAAATGAAATATACGGGTGGTAAGTAAAACATACGGTTGGAAATGAAATATATGGGTAGTAAATAAAATATACGGGTGTCAAATAAAACACACGGTTGGAAATGAAATATATGGGTAGTAAATGAAATATACGGGTGTCAAATAAAACACACGGTTGGAAATGAAATATATTGGTAGGACGCCCGTATAACTAAAATTGGTCGACCATAAATTTCGCCCCATGTGAAAAAAATCATCGGTATTTGATATCGGATTCGCAGTGTTTACGGATTTTATCCAGATTTCTTGATTTTTTACCTTTTTCAGATCTTCAAAGAGGACTATTTTGAGGTTTTCTGCTCAAATTTTCTTCAAATGAGGGGTCTTGCATGAAAATTGATCGATTTCTTCGGTGTGAAAGGGAGAGAGACGATTGACGAGGCTGCCCAGAGTGCAGGAAATAGCGTTTCCGGCAGTTCAATTTGAACATTTTTCTCGAAGCCCCCCTAGATATACATTGTCCGTCATTTTTACAGCACCCCTGAGAACACTTCCCCCTCAGATATTACAAAAAAACTCTGACAGACATTTCTAGTGGTGGGATACCCCTGACAGAGCTATGTAATTGCCAGACATTTGTAGTGGTGGAGTATCCTCGACAAGAGTTATCTAATATTTAGACCAAAGCTAGACTAGATTAGCTTAAATCTGTACAACCTAAAATAGCTTTGGAGTTGTTATGTACCACCACAGGAGTCATGAATGACCACTGCCAGACAGTTTGTGAGGTGGGTTACCCCTAACAGACACGCCCCAAAATGCCACGACCCCAACTAGGCTAGCTTCGCAGGCACTGTTCGCGTGTTCTAAAAAATTTAATTCCAGGATGCGTAGGATACTAATACCTAGTTAAGTTGGGGGGGGGGGGGGCGTGGCATTTTGGGCGTGGAATACCACACCACCACTAGAAATGTCTGTCAGAGTTTTTTTGTAATATCTGAAGATGTACGGTACATTGCAGTTACATTTTCGTGTGGTACACTTTTGAGCTAATCTAGCCTAGTTGGGGATCATGGCATTTAGGGCGTTGAATTACACACCCACCACCAGAAACCTGGCAGACTTACATTCTGATGATACCAGATATACATACTTTGATACCATATAGGCGAAAATTTTCAGCTAGGTTGACCCCATGGGCTCCCGGTCTAAATATCCACTCCGGTGAAATATTAGAGGAACTACATGTTATTCTACATAATTATGTTGATAAGATAAGATTTAATTTAAGCGTTGGTGAACCAAACCTCAACACCGTATCGGTTTCTCAACACTGTAACAAAACTTAATGTTACGGAGTTGAGCGTTACGGTGTTGAGAACCATGGAGTTTATGGTGTTTCAAAATATAAATTCATTATATCATTATAAAAGTGCCTATTATAAAAAGCAACATACAATTAAAGCTCCAGAAGGGCACCTTTGATAAGGATCAATATTGAAATAACCTTAATTATATCCACATTAAAAACTCCAGAAGGTCATCCTTGATAAGGATGGAGATTGAAATAACCTTAATTATTGGAAATAATCTTAATTATTGCCAATTTTATAAAGAAAATTTATTTCTAATTTAATAAAGAATAGAGGTGATATGAAATTCTCACAAAAGCGAAGCGAATTCTCCATCGCAAAATAGAATTTGAACAAATAAAACACAAATATAAAATTCATGATTTTGGATGTTTTTCATTTCTCAATCTATTTAACATTACAATGTTTAAAGGGCAAGTGTATGTGTTGGCGTGCATGTAGATGAACCAGTGATAGTTGGAATTCGAAATAGAGTAGGGTTTAGTACTACTGTTCTGGGAAAAGACACTCATTTAAAGTGCCAGAGAGAAGTAAAAAAAAAAAAAAAAAATGGCAGCTGCCGAAACAGAGACCAACACAAGTGGTAAGTCTATTTTTCACTGACTAGTTGTGCCTAAATGTACAAATTCTCCATCCATGCCTAAAATATAAAAGAATGAAACAAAAGACTTTGATAATTGAAGGATCAGGAGGGTTTTGGTACCTGCATAATTGTATCTACCTGGTAAATGTTTTATTTTTTTAGATTTTTTAAATAACAGTCATGTCTGCCTCTAATACCTGATACAATTCCCTTTTCTTGAGATATCAATTTTCACCTTTTCCAGATAACTGCGTCCTACTTGAGGGTGAACTGAAAGATATTCCGTTACATAAATTTGGTTTATATTTTGAAAATAAGTCTAAATCTAGAGGTGGTCCTTTAAGAAAAGATCCTGTTATACTGAAGCACGGTATTTTAGTGGAATTTGAATCATCAGAAGGTAAGCATAACAGTTTATTTTTACAAAACCGGAATCACAATTTACCTAAATCCACCACTATTTTCAGCTCATTTCATGATATTTTATGTCTATTTTTGATAATATACCATTCTTATGCCAAATTGTCATTTGTAATGTACTAAAATCCACCATTATTTCAACTCATATAATAATTCATTTTTGTTTTAAAAGATTTCCAAGCAAGCGATTTCGTTTAATACAAGAGTTATGTCCCTTGGTTACAACTTTCAAACTTGCTTTGAAATCGCATTTTGTGAGGGATTTTTAAGGCAAAAACGTTATGATTTTCAATTAAAAATGTCAATTTTGCAAAAAGAGTGATATATTATCAAATACCGATATAAATTATTGTCATTTGAGTTAAGCTAATGGTGGATTTGGATAGAATTTGGTAAATTGTGCTACATGTACCTTAAAAAAAGCATTCAAATAAGTTGCAAATGTCAGTGTGTCCAAAGTAGGCACCATTGGCTTACAATTTAAACACACACAAGCACTGATTTAAAAAGTATAATTGAAGGATCAACTGAATAAATAGTTATAAGTATAAAAAAGAATTACCAGTATGTCTGTGACCAAAATATTAAAGGTTCCTGTTTCAGTCACATTTTGGCACAGAAAGAGGAGTGTTATATAATGGGACAAAACTTGTACGCCATGCTATACCTTTATTTATTTAGAATTTCAGGGATTTAAGTTATATATCCACATTTTGATATTTTACAACCAAAATTTCAATGTTTTAAGAGGGTTGTTTGTTCAAAAGCGATCTGTACCCCATTATATACTTGGAATTCTGCTGTCAGTGTAATGCTCAACGAAATAAGTATCACTTGTAATTAATCTTTAACTGACATTGCCCTTGCAAATGCGATGTAGTGGCTGAACCATACAATCTTATTTGAACCTCCTAATATTATTGTATATTTTTATCATGGCAAATGGAAAATTATTTTTCCAGCAACAGACAAAGCTCTCCAAAGCACTAATTTAGAAATGCAACGACAATGCAAAAATTGTGACACATCTAGATGATTGATAAAATGAAATATATGTAAAGAAAATAAATTATTTAGTTCCATTATACAAAGTTTCAAACATTTAACCGGTGTAAGAAAATACTAATCTAGATTTCCATGTCTTTCATTTAATATATATTAATGTCTTTCAGCTGTGCAAGGTGTTATCGAAAAAGGAACCCATACAATTGGTAAAAATCAGTACAAAGCGTTGAAATATCAGAAGATACCACACTATCTCAATAAAATATTAGTTAGAAACATTCCAGAGAAAGCTGATACGGATGACCTTCAAAACTTTCTTGAGGCCTTGTTATCAGATCAACCAGTAGAAGTAGAGACGGTTCGCTATTGTGAAGACCCGAAGGATGCAGTTGTTTCTTTCAAGGATGATATAGGTATTGATCATATACATCCAACTCTGCGTGTAAAGTTTCTTCTGTCTTTTTTGACCTTAGCAAAGTGCCCATGAGATGCTAATCCCGAATTCGTGAACTCTCCATGTCTAACATTATTAATGAATTTCAGCTTCAATCATGATTATTAGGTCGAAATGATAATGTAGGACAGAATGATTTCGAAGGGTTTTTATACGCCATCAGTTTCAAGTGGACGTATATTGTTGTCGCCCATCTGTCCGCAACAAGTCACAATTTTTATCTGATTTTGTCGAAACTTGAAATATACACATTATCAGCAACTTTGACTGAGTTACAGTTCTTGTTTTAGAAATCGCATGGATATCTAGTTAGTTACTGGGTCTATTAGAGTTTTTATGCATCCACATTTTCATGTCGGCGCACATTGATGTCACTACTGTCCGTCGGGACGCCCCTCCTTTCACAGTTTGTTTCTGGACAATCTACAGGTCACAATTCTTATCCGATTTTGTCGAAACTTGAAATATAGGTTTATCTCCAAAGGATCTCTGTTGCATTCGATATTTGCATGTATCGGGCTGTAAATTCATGGATTATGGCCCCTGATTTTACGAAACATCACGTTTTTATCTTGTGGACACTTTGATGAAACGTGTAATATATGTTTATAACCCAAGAATCTCGGTTTCTGTCGATATTCAGACATTTTTAGCTTGTGGACCATCTACAGCTCACAATTTTTATCTGATTTTGATGAAACTTTATATATATTTTTAAATTTAGCCTATCGGACCATAACTTCCTGGATTGTGGCCCCTGATTGTTCGACCCTCAAGAGGTCATATTTATTATTGATTTTGATGAAATATAAAATATATGTTTATATCCCAACGATCTTGGTTCTATTTGATATTGTTGCATGTCGGGCAGTAAAATCCAGGATTCTGGCCCCTGATCGTACGAAAATTTGCTTTTTTAGCTTGTTCTCTGTCCATTTCTTGCAAAATGTGGGCGTACCTTGCATGACAACCACTTGTTGGAACTCTGCAAACTGGCTTTTATAATTAGTAAGCTTATATTTTGATTGTAAACATCATCATTGGTAGTGGATGCATTTACATATTGACCTGTATATACATGTATGTATAAAATATCTATAAATTTATTGGACTTATATCATACTTATTTTGTTTCTTTAATAAACAGACATTCCCAAGTTGAAAGATTTTAGTACTACAAAAACATTTTTGGGCACAAAAATTAGTATCCAGAGTATTGAAATGACAAATGTTGTCAAATTAGTTGGTATTAATCCAGAAGCATCTGACCAAACATTAAAGTTATATTTTCAAAATACAAGAAGAAGTGGAGGAGGAAGAGTTAATAATATAGAAAGGTTAAATGATGTAATTTTGATCTATTTTGCAGACTATAAAGGTAATGATAAAATTTCACTTTTTTCTTGTAATAGTTACTAAAAGCACAGAATTCCATGTGAATTCAGCTATGGGGTTTATTTCTTCATAAATAATAATGGTAATAATAATCCATCTTATATAGCGCTGTGCATTCAGTAAAACTGCTCAGTGGAGCACAAATTAATATTTAAAATCACTTAAAACACACCTTAAAATTTAAAAGTAAAATTTAATAGCACTGTTATCATATTTAAATCACTGATTAAAAAGCTATATTCAAATAGTATGTTTTGAGTTTCTTCTTAAAACTTGAGACACAACAACTTTGTTTAATGGAAATTCTTGGGGGAAGGTGAAACAGAAGCCTCTTTTCTCCAAATTTTGTGTTTGTTGTGTGTGCTTCGAGTTGTAGTTGATTTGATGATCTGAGGGAACGTTGAGGAATATATAGATGAATTAAATCTTTAAGATAGGCCGGAGAATCTGGATTGTTGATGCAGTTATAGGTGAGGGTGTTGATTTTAAAAATATTTAAATGATTGAGTTAAATAGATATTGTCAATAAAATTATTTATAAATAGTTAGTTTACTTTTTAATAATTTATTTTTTTAATTTTTTCTTTTATATTTTAGTCGTGGACAGGGTTTGCAGGCAATTTCATCACGTAAACGAACAGGAACTTAAAGCAGAGCTGTATTTGGAATGTTTAGGAATTGATGGTGGATCAACAGACCCTAATTTCTGTGAAATACCCAACTCTTTGATTATTGATAGCTCATCCTTCTCAACAAAAGTCATTAATATTTTATTAGAAACACCCAAACTCCTCGACCAAATGAACTGCGGCGTGTTAAAGGACTTAATGGCACGTGCTGCTGAAGTGGGTAAAACTAAAATGGCCATCCATTGCACGTCTAAAGGAGATACTGCAGAGTCCAGAACAAGATTGAAAACATGGTCCAAAGACGTAGAAAGATGCGTTAAAAATTTTATCGAAAATAACATTGTGGAAAAAACCTTTCCCTTAACAACCAAGACTAAAGAGACTATTCTAACATGGCTGGATACAAAACTTAGTGAAACATCATCCTCTCCGGGTTTATGGTTTACCTACACCTTTGATGAGAGCCGGGTCCTGGTAACAGGTGTAAAGGATGCAGTCTCACCGTTAATTGATCAACTACAAACATTTGTTAACGAAGAACAGGCGAGACTTAAGTATGAAGCCAGTTTGAAGAAGAGATGTATTGATCTGAAACCACATGAACTTCTATATTTGAAACATACAGGAAACCTAGACAAAATCAGAGAACAGTTCCAGTCTATTGATTTAGATATTGATGACAATTCATTGCGTATGAAATGCACGGACACTGAAATGAACATGATTGAGAGAACGGTAAAAGAAAATTTATCAGATTTGGTGAGAATTCCATTACAGTTAACTAAAGATAAGAACACAATTCTTGGTGACACACAAAACCATGCGTGGTTTTACGCCGAAATCAACAAAAGACTTACAAATATAAAGGGTATCTGGTTGAGAGAAAATGGTGAAATTGTAGTCTGGTGTAAATCAAAGACGGAATTTTTAGGAATTAAAAAAGTATTAGAAACTTCTATAATTCAACACACCGTACAAATACCGGAAGACAAAAAACTGGTCCTACAGTCAAAGACCTGGAGTGATGCCCTAAAGAGAACAGTAGAGGAAGAACATCTCGCTGAGGCCATTGTTACCGTTTCTAATGAAACAGTTTTTATAACTGCCATGAAACATATCATCGATGAAGTACTCAACACAGTAACAAATCACATTGACTCTTCCAAACTGTTCACCGAAACTGTCCCCAACTTAACCGACAAAATGAAAGATAGTTTCAGAAACGAAGGTGTTGATTTTTCTGATATTGAGGCTAAATTCCACGTACGGCTTAGATGGCAGGATGATGGCTCATTAACCATTTCTGGAACAGATACTAAATACATTGAAACAGCATTAGGTTATATCAATGGTATAATACAACAGCACAAGAAAAAGACCATGTATTTCAAGGAACCAGGTGTTGAAAAGTTAATTGCTGAGGTATATAGACAAGGACATTTACACGGGAAAGGAACTGTGGTAGAATTGACAGGACTAGATCCGTCTGATCGCGGCAATTTTAAGTTGACCTTTAGTATGGATATAAAAGGAACATTAACCAAATTAAACATTGGTGTCGGTAGTCCCCAGTTTTTACATGCTGATGTGGTTCTCATTCCTGTCACCATTAACGACAGAAAATTACAGCCCATTGGTACTGGTGGTAAAATTGGAATAACTGAGGGTAAGTCTAAAGTATTATCTAATAGTACACGAATATACTCCATTGCAACATTTCTTTTCCAGAAACCCAAAACCACTTCCCAGTTATTTTGGTATTATGAGACATAGCGAAACTGAATATCTAGAGTATAATCATTTTGTTTTGGGTTTGTGTTTTTAGGGGGGGGGGGGGAGGAGGAGGGACTGTATTATGTCTCCAGCCATGTCTGTTCACATTTGATGTTTATTTGCAAATATCATACAAATATATGTTTATAGACGATCACAGTTCAATGCAAAATTTAATTATACTTAGAACATGTTCAAAAGAAATTGGATGCGTACAGTTTAGGTGCAGATAATTCATTAACTGCTTGGGTTATTACCCCTGAAATATGTATAATGTTTGTGGAACCTTTAGAGCTCAAAATTTCTGTCCCAATTTAGATGAAACTGCATTTAAGTGTTAAGAATCAAATAATCTCAGATTAGTTTTACTTTTGATGTGCAAATGACCTTTCGTTCTGCATTATACCCTGTTAATGAAGGCTATAGATTTTACAGATTTTTTTTCCCCATTCGCTTTGAGTTTGATTTGAAACATTGAGACAATGAGAGGATGAGTTCCAACCGATTTTCTAGTTTTTCCGTCCATCTCTTAGATGTATCTTGGGGGCTTATATTGCATGGCAACCGTTTGTTTATGTTTGTTTCTATGTGATAACCGATAAAAGTCATTTTGTTTGTAATCAAAAGATAATAAACCTGCAACTTCAATAATAAACCTTCAGATTGAACCTTTATCGATTACGTTGGCTGGATAGTCAAGTAGTCTAACGCATGTTCTTTCAATCATAAGGTCTAGTGCCGTGGTTTCGAGCTCAAGCTGGTATGTGGCAAGAAATAGTGTGGCAAGAAATAGTGTCGCCCACCGAACTTATTGGGTTTTCTCAGTGTTCCTCAATCTGTCCAAATCTCCAACATGCAATCGAGTTACTGAAATAAAATTGTACCATATTAGTTCCGAAATTACCTAGGTTGTTTGTCTCTCTCTACCTTCATCAAATAGGTCCTGGGACCGAACATATCATTAAACACGGAGCACCACATCCAACAGAAGGAGAGACAGTCAATACAGAACCTGGAAACTTCTACTCAAGGGCGCTGTTTTATGGTGTTTACCCAACCGTAGCTTCAACAAACAAAGAACTGTGTATGGGGGCTATACTAGAAGATGTGTTGAAGAATGCCGATGAAAAGGGGTTTTTCACTGTTGCTCTACCAGTAATAAAGTCTAATTCTCAAAATCTGGACAAATCAGTCAATCAACTTACTTATTCTGTGCTTGAGAAATACCTGACTGATAAACAGACGTCTTCTGTACGGTCTGTATGGATGTTTGCAGACACGGATGACAGTGCAACAAAGTTCAAGGAGGTGGCCGAAAAAGCAAATGCCCAGAGTACAAAACAGATCAGAAGGAGATTTATGAGTCGGACAAGGGCTAAAGGAAATGAAGGTATAATAACTTTTGGCACCAACTCTACAAAAAACTTCAGATGTATGAAGGCCATTTTATATTTTATATGGATACATGTTTAATAGAACAATGACTTAACTTTAAATTGTCTACTCTTCAAATATGTACACCAGATCGAGGGAAGTAATTCCCACTTAACCATTCCCTGCATAAAGATCGCAAATAAAACGATTGCAAAATTATAATCTAAATTAAAGGAGCATATATCTAATTCTTGTAGATCTTGTCTGGGATACCATTATTGTGGAAACAGACATAAAGCAATCAGCTGCTATGATTTGGTAGCACGATTTATCCAAATCTACTCAAATCTGCTCAAACAATTCCCTCATAGCACACTGTATGGCGTATACCCGTCTTCATTAGCCCAGTCGGAATAGAACAGTAGGACGTTAAATCCTATTTCAGTTCAGTTATTCTGTGTTGTCTTTTAAAGGTACAGTGACATCAAAAACCAGGATGTCCTTGGTGACAGCCGATATCGCGTGGGAGGAGGTAATTAGACTTTGCTTTAATTCAATGTCACATGATTGACAAAATCATTCCAACAATATTCTCTGATTTTACCGCCCCAGTTTTATTTTTATACACCCATATATAGCTTGGTATATATTGATGTCACTTTGTCCGCCAATCCGTCAACCATATTGGCTTGTGCTAGAGGCTACAGTTTTTTAAGATTTTTTTCAAATATTGAAATTCAGCTTTCCCGGTCCATTCATCAGAGTAATGCCCGTTTCTCCAAAACCCTTTTGAATGTGATAGAGGCTATAGTTTTTGATAGATTCTTTTCAAATTTGGTTTGTAACATTGGCTTTATGAGCGCATGAAACTTATCGAAATATTCAACGTTCCAATACTGTACATTCTGGAGTAATCCCCCCCACACCCCATTTTTTAAAATTTTGTAAACACGATAGAGGCTACAGTTTTCAAATACAATTAACCCTATCGATATTCTGTGTTCTGCGACTTTCCATTCGGGAGGGGGGGTTGGATGGCTGAATGGTTAGCGTGCGCGCGCTGTATCATAAAGTCTGTCATTGAGTCGACTGGCGTGGTTTCGAATCCCCGGTTGTACGTGGCAAGGAGTAGGGTCGCCTGTCCAACCTTGTGGGTTTTCTCCGGGGCCTCCGGTTTCCTCCCACTGCTAAAGACCCCTACGCGCAAGCGAATTATGTAAATAAAATTAAACCATATGTTAGTCCCGAAATGACCTAGTTTGTATCGAGTGGACGTTAAACCCCATCTCTCTCTCTCCATTCGGGAGAAATAACCAATTTTTTGGGAGTCACTTTTCAAAGGAATAAGATATTGTTTGATTTTTATGATATTAAACCATATGTTAGTCCCGAAATGACCTAGTTTGTGTCGAGTGGACGTTAAACCCCATCTCTCTCTCTCTCTCTCTCTCTCTCTCTCTCTCTCTCTCTCCTTTCGGGAGAAATAACCAATTTTGTGGGAGTCACTTTTCAAAGGAATAAGATATTGTTTGATTTTTATGATATTTGTACCATTTGATGCCTACTGGTGTCTTTTGGGTTTAACTTGTACTTTTAAGCTTTATTAATCCACGTTTCTTTACTTATTGTCCCCCGCCGAATGGCCGAATGGTTTAGCACGTGTGCGCTGTATCATATTCATAAGGCCTGTCATTGAGTCAACTGGCGTGGTTTCGAATCCCCGGTTGTACGTGACAAGAAGTAGGGTCGTCTGTCCAACCTCGTGGGTTTTCTCTGGGTACTCCGGTTTCCTCCCACAGCTAAAAACCCCTACGCACAACCAAATTTTTGAAATAATATCAAACCATATATTAGTCTCGAAATGACCTAGTTAAACCCCATTTCTCTCTCTCTCTAAATGAGCTAGAATGTTCAAACTTGGTGTAGGTGTTTATAAAGTCACTTCCTTGATGGAGTTCGAAGATGAGCAATTTCGGCTTAGGGTAAGCAGAGATAAGCAATTTGATTGATTGATTCTTTGGGACAAGATAACTTTAGTTCAAATTAAGTGAGTGTGAATTTTTAATTACATCAATACCTTGACTAATTAAGTCTGTTAATGTGCATTTTCTGCTCGGGGTAAGCAGAGCGATAAGCAATTTGATTGGTCAAGACTTTGGAACACAATAACTCTCCTTTTAATTGAACTAGAACATTCAAACTTGGTGTAGGTGTTAATTAGGTGAATGCCTTGATGGAGATCGAAAATGAACATTTTCTGCTCAGGGTAAGCAGGGATAAGCAATTTGATTGGTTGATGCTTTGGGGAATGATAACTTTAGTTCTAATTAGGCTAAGTGAGAGTGATGAATTTGGTGTATAGTTTTATTACATCAATACCTTGACTAAGTTCGATAATGAGCATTTTCTGCTCAGGGCAAGCAGAGCGACAAGCAATTTGATTGGTAGAGACTTTTGAACACAATAACTCTCATTCTAATTGAGGTAGAGTGTTCAAACTTGATGTAGGCGTTCATTAGTTGAATGCCTTGATGGAGTTTGATAATAGACATTGTCTGCTTACAGTAAGCAGAGATAAGCAATCTGATTGGTTTGGTTTTAATTAAGTGACAGTGATTGAACTCCGAGTATAGATTCATTATATCATTACCTTGACTAAGTTCGATGATGAGAATTGTCTGCTTATACTATGGAGCGAACTTAACAACTCTGCTTTTAATTGAGGTAGAATGTTTAAACTTGATGTAGATGTTCATTAGGTGAATGTCTTGACTGGGTTCAATGATTAATATTTCGAGCTAAAGTTAATCAAAGCTAAGCAATTTCATTGGTTGATGGTTTTGGACAAGATAACTTTGATTCTATTTGATAGAGAGTGATGAAACTTAGTGTATAGTTGATAATCAGTTTGATTGTTTGATACTTTTGAAAAAAATAAATGTGCGATTAATTAATATGTATCATCTATTTATTTTGGGATTTCGGCGGAATATCAGCCTCACTGTTGACTTGTCATATTTTGTTCCGCCAGTTCTCAAAACAAATCGCCAGTACCCCAAAAAGTTATCTACAAAGTCAAATCTTAATCGCCACTTTCGTAATTTTATCGCAAATTTAGACTCTGGTGACCGACAGCGTGAGCCATGGTATAGATTCATTATGTCAATACATCGACTAATTTCGATGATGAGAATTTTCTGCTTAAGCTAAGTAGCAATAAGCAATTTGATTGGTCAAAATGTTCATTAGGCGAATGTCTTCAATGATTTATATTTCCCATTAAAGCACAGCAGAGCTAAGCAATTTCATTGGTTGATGCTTTGGGACAGGATAACTTTGATTCTAACTGATAGAGAGTGATGAAACTTATAGTGGGTAGTTTCATTACCAGGTACTTCAAAACCTGACTGAGTTTGATATTGAACATTTTATGCTTAAACTACTCGATAATTTTAAAAAAGTTAAATGTGCAATTAATTAATTTGAGTCATCTCTTTATTTTGGGATTTTGACAGGGGATATTAGCCTCACTGTTGGCTTGTTTATTTTATTCGATTTCAATGAAACTTAAAATGTATGTTTATATACCAAAGATCTGGGGTCCTTTCGATACTTGTGTGTATCGGAAACTTCCTGGATCATGGCCCCTGATTGTACATAAACTCTTTCATAATGTGGGCGTATCTTGCATGGCCGCCGCTTGTTGTAATACAAGTGTATTTCCTAAATAATTAACAACTCAGGATGTATTAATCAAGAAGTTGAACTTTAATGCTCACCAACCATAATCTAACTAATCTGAGATCTTTTGATCCTATAAACACATATTTTAAGTTTCATCTGTATTGGACGAAAAATAAAGCCCCTAAAGGGTCAGAAATAGGGGGCATAACTCAGGAATGGAAGGTTTGGTGCTCACCATAATCGGACACATCCAAGATCTTATGCAAGGCATATTTTAAGTTATAACTAAATCGATTCAGACGAAACTTAGATGACTGCATCAGACCTTATAATTCTCTGTATCATCCCCCCCCCCCTCCGACTTTTATGTGCCCACATTTTCATGTGGACGTATATGGTCGTCGCCTTTGTGTCGACACACTACAGGTCACAATTATTATCTGAAATTGACAAAACTTGAAACATTGGTTTATATCCTGGAGATCTTGGATCCCTTCGATATTGGCATGTATCGGACCGTAACTTAATGGATAATGGCCCCTGGTTGTACGAAAAATCATGTTTTTAGCTTGTGGACACTCTAGAGGTCACAATTTATATACGATTTTGATTACACTTGAAATGTATGTTTATAACCCACAGATATTGGTTCACGATTTTAGCTTGTGGACCCTCTAGAACTCACAGTTTTAATCCAATTTTAAAAATCGTTTCAGTATTTTGTGAGACCGAAACTGCCAGACAAAATGGCAGCTCCATGTATGCAAATAGTGTTAAAGTATGTAATATCATGGTTGTGGACCATCTAGTGGTCACAATTTTGACCTCATGTTTTTTCGAGGAGTCCTCCGGTTTCCTCCCACTGCTAAAGACCCCTATGCGCTAGCGAATTATTGAAATAAAATTGAACCATATGTTACTCCCGAAATGACCTACTTTATGTTGAATGGACATAAAACTCTCTCTCTTTTTCTCTCTCTCTCTCTCTCTCTCTCTCTCTCTCTCTCACGACTCCACGAAAAATCACATTTTAAGCTTGTCGACCCTCTGCAGGTCACAATATTTATCTGATTTTAAAAACTATTTAAGTTTGTATCACTGTTACACCATAATGAAGGTTGAATACCCTATTACACCCTCTTTTTCTCGTTTTAAATAGACAGAAGCAGTGGTTAATTCGACTAACGGACGACTGGATTTATCGCAGGGTGCCATAGCAGGTGCATTGCGCAAAAGAGGTGGAGATGAATTACAGGCCGATTGTAAAAAGAAGTATCCTAAGGGTATACAGTTGGGTGAAATTGCCAAAACCCTTGCGTTCAATATGAAATTTACAAAATACATCTACCACTGTAACCTACCAGAGTACCAGAAGGATGAATCCATGAAGGTGAGTCCTATATTTTACAGCTGCTATCCGTGACGCTTGAAATATATGCAACTGTTGGGGCCCATCCGTGCAGCCCTTTACCCCTTCTCTCTCGACCAATACCTGATCAACTGGGAGCCAGCACTTTGCTCACTGAGCTATTGTGGCTGACTGGTAACTTGATAATTCTACATAGACTCGGGGAACCTTCCGACCAACACTCCGATCTCCCTAGTTAGATTGAGCGAGGGCCTTACTCTCAGAGCCACCTTTGCTCCACTTGATATGTAGGACGTTTTGATAAACTTCATGGTAGCTAAAGAGATGAAAATAATAAATGACTATTTTAGGTATTAAAGGAGACCATACTGAAATGCCTACAACAAGCTGAAAAAGATGGAATAGTTAGCATAGCGTTTCCAGCTATAGGTGCTGGAATTCTGAAATATCCCCGGGAAGAAGTGGCAAATAATTTATTTGAGATAGTGCATGAATATGGAGAGAACAACCCAACAACGACTCTCACCGATGTTGTTTTTGTCATGTTCAAGGATGATCAGAATGTAATAAAGGTAAATGTGAAATTGAAATTTAGTTTTTATACACCTACATTTTCAGGTGAACGTATATTGTCGTCGCTACTGTCCCTCTAGAGGTTAAATATATAACTGTCGCACCATAATGATGGTTGAGTTCGAATTTTGGGATAATCAGACCGGAACTGATGGACAAAAAGGCTGCTCCTCGAACGCAAATAGTGTAAAAAATATGGCATAATAAGGTTGTGGACCCTCTAGAGGTCGAGGGGGTTGGCGTGGATTATGGCCCCTGATTGTTAAAAAAATCATGTTTTTATCTTGTGGACCCTAGATCAAGAAGTCACAATTTGGATTCAATTTTAAAAACTATTGAAATATATCACCATTACACCTCAATGAAGGTTGAATTCGAATTTCATAAAAATCTGACCCCAACTGCCGGACAAAATGGCTGCTCCTTGTACGCAAATAGTCTAAAAGCTCTAGTATGTAATCCCAAGGTTGTGAACCCTCTACATGTCACAATTTTTAATCGATTTTGATGAAACTCGAAATGTATGTTTTATTACACAGAACTGCTGCTACTACTACGCAAAAAGATTAAAAGTATGTATATACCAAGGTTGTGGACCTTCAAAAAATCACAATTTTTATCTGATTTTGTTAAAACTTAAAATATATGTTTATATCCAAAAGATCTTGGTTTTTTCCGATGTTCGTGCACATCGAACTGTAACTTTCTGGATTATGGCCTCTGATTGTACAAAATATCACATTTTGTTTAGCTTGTTCTCTGTCCATCCCTGTCCACCCGACAAGTTTCAACAATCGGATTTGATGAATGCAACATGAGTTATCCCTCTATTAGTAAGTGCAGGAGGACTGCACTACACGCAAAACAAAAATCTATAAGATAAACCTGCGGACAAGAGAGAAAATAGACATTGCACCAAATAAACAAATATCAAATCAAGTGAAGGGATCCGGGGGCCAGCCATAAGCATCCACTGCGCTGTGCAGTCCCGGTCCTGTGGTGACACAGTCTTCACTCGAATCTAAATAACTGACTTTAGTGATGAGTGATAACAGATACACAGGCGAATTTCTGCTCACTAACAATTCCTTCGAAGACCAAAAGTTGTTATATGAGACTGTAAGAGGATACCTGACAATTCAATAAACTAACTGAATGTCATTAGATAAGAGAACACGAGAAAAATAGAAATAGTCCGTACATTCCCTTGCTTTTATTCATTCTATACCTTATAAAAACATGGTAATGCATGGGCTTTTTCTATTTTTCTTTCGTGTTCTCTTATCTAGTGACAGTAAATTATGAATTGTCTGATATCCTCTCACAGTCTCACACAACAACTTTTGGTCTTCGAAGGAATTAGTGAGCAGAAATTTGCCCATATATCTGTTATCACTCGTGTTTTCCTTTTGCGTTCGTCACTTCCGATTGTTGATACCTTTATTACACGTCTATCGTAGGAATGATCTCTATGTTAAAATTATATTTGGAACGTGTTTATAACCAGTTCTATCACATATGTGATAATGACTGACACCAATATTGTCCTTTAAGTGAGAGTGATGGAACTCTGTTCGATGATGAGAATTTTCTGCTTAGGCTAATGAGCGATAAGCAATTAGATTGGTCAAGACTTTGGAACATAACAACTCTGCTTTTAATTGAGGCAGAATGTTTAAACTTGATGTAGATGTTCATTAGGTGAATGTCTTGACTGAGTGCAATGATTAACATTTCGGGCTTAAGCTAAGCAGAGCTAAGCAATTTCATTGGTCGATGCTTTAGGACAAGATAACTTTGATTCTATCTGATAGAGAGTGATAACACTTAGTGTATAGTTGATAATCAGTTTCATTGCTTGATACTTTTGAAAAAAATAAATGTGAGATTAATTAATGCGTGTCATCTATTTATTTTGGGATTTTGGTGGGGGACATCAGTCGCACTGTTGCTTTGTTTGCTTTTGCATAGAAGTCTTCAGCTGTGGGAGGAAACTGGAGGACATGAAGAAAATCCATGAGGTTGAACATGTGATCCTACTCCTTGTCACGTACAAGCGGGGAATCGAAACAACACCACGGCTCAATGACAGCACCCAGACAGAAAGTGTCCTAGCACACATAGCTGTGGGTGGATGACTGAATGGTTCTCTCGTTTGTGCTGTATCATATGGTCTGCCATTGAGTCAACTGGCGTAGTTTCTTTCGATTCCTCTCGATTCCTCGGTTGTATGTGACAAGTGAATTATTGAAATAAAACTCTCTCTCTCTCTCTCTCTCACACACAAATAACTGGTGTGCCTAACATGCAGCTGTGTTTGGGAGGATTATAAAAGGATCAGAGGTACCAGAAAGTAATCAGAATTTACCAGGATCATACATTGTGAGTCGGGTATCATTTAATCTTGTGTATCTAGTACTAATTTCTTCACATTCCTTTAATATTAAATCTTTGTTTACAAATTCATACAATTCATTTAGAATCACTTAAAATCATCTTAAATCATCTAATTTGTTTTTGTGTTCAGTTTAAAGCTGAGTTTTTAAACAAAGATTTGATATTGAATGAATGTGAAGAACAACTTGAAGAAATGATGATTATTGCTATTATTTTGGCATTATAAAACTGACCCATTATTATATAACTGTTTCCGTCCTAGGTTTTTAAAGAAACGCAAGAGAAATACAAGAAAAAGTATGGAACTGATAGATGTAAGTTTTTTATACTATAGTTATCATCTGATTGTTTTGAAATTTATTTATGTTGTTTACATTAGTGAGATGGAGAAGCCTGTTGAATTTCAGTTAGTTATGTCTAGAGTTACAGTCCTTGTTTCACTTTGTTGAACCTTGAGAAGTCTCTAACGACAATAGTTATCATCTGATCTATATCAAATTTATATACATCATTTATTTGAGTGAAAGGAAGAATCTTATTGAATTTCAGCCATTTCCGTCAATTACTTCTAGAGTTATGACACTTGTTTAACTTTGTTGGACCTTGTGAACATCCGCTCTGTATGAAATTTATATGCATCATTTGAATTAATGAAACGAATATGCCTATTAAATTTCAGCAATTTCCCTTAATTAATCCTTGAGTTATGACACTTGTTCTTGTAAACAATCAAAAAACAAAAGTTATCATCCGATCTGTATAAGATATATATGCATTATTTAAATTAGTGAAACAAAAAAGCCTGTCAAATTATGAGGCCCTTGTTTAAGTTTGTAGAACCCTGTGAACTTGTGAACCATAAAATGAAAAAAACTGTAATGTGATCTGTACAAAATCGTCTTGTAAATGCCCCCACCCCCATTACCTACAATAGAATAAATATGTGACAACCCTTGTCGACTGCTCGATGTAGCTGCTGCTGGCGTATATTCTGTTGCCTTGCAACCTATCTTTAATACAAACTGGGTATTTGTGGAGAAAATATTGATGTTTGGGCATATTGGATTGTAACTTCCTGAATTATGGCCCTTGATTGTACGAAAAATCACTTTTTGTTTAGCTTGTTCTCTATCCATCTCTTGCAAAATGTGGGCGTATCTTGCCTGGCAGCCGCTGGTTAGCATGAACTTTAAAAATTTCCATGAAAACTTACCATTTCTTGGCGTTTCCATGTATACCAGACAAACCACAGTCTATAACTGAAAAAGTGAACTGTAGGTTTCTTGGACTTGCATTTCGCATTGGTCATGCCAAATTTGATGAAAATCCTCGCATAAACTGGTATTTATTGGATGATTAATATGTAGTTTATCACCCCAAATAACAAAAAAATGTACTAGTTTTAAAATGTGCATTTTGGAGAACTCAACGCCCTGAAAACTTTTTTATTTATTTGTGTTTCAGTATTACTTCCGCTGACAGAAAATAATGCTGATCAGTCTGAGCGTTTATTACCACTATCAATCTACAGTAAGGTATCGGCTGTACTCGTCAGTGTTTATGCAATAGGAGAAGAACAGTTAAGGGAGATATGTGATAAATGTCAAACAAATATAAACCGTGACATCAAGGAAAAAACATCATGGAATGATGACATTTTACAGAAGTATGATGATGACCAGGTATATTTCATTTATGGACAAGGTTATTTGTAAATACTGTAATTATGGTTGACCTAATATCCTAACATTAGCTCACTGAAGCTTTTTGAGAGTCAAAATAAAAAGTCGCCCTAACCTCCCTAAAATCCCAAATACTTTTGTTACAAACCTCTTCCTTAATTTGTCACAAATTGAAAATCGAGGACAATTAGGCCTGCAGACAAAATTTCCAGCGTGAATTTTCAATACGAGGTTCTCCCTACAAATCCAGAGAGTTCCAAGCAAAATGTTTGCAATAACTCGATTTAGGGCCAGATGAAAATTTGATACATGTAATTGTCAAGTAAATGATACTTTTATACATCTACTAACAATTGTAAAAGTTGACATAAAATTGAATATTGGCTAAAACACCCAATGCCTTCATCCTATGCAAAGAATATGCTGTTGGTTAAATTTTTATTAAACCAAAATGCAGAAGACATGCAGTATTTTGGAAATCTGTTTATGGTAAAAGGAGTTATTTCCCATTATGAAAAATATTAAGAAATATTGCTAACAGTATTTTGTTTATAAAGACAAGGGCCTATATAAGTTCACCATTTTTCAGATAGGGTTTGTGGCTGTGATGGTCAGCATCTAGTTACTCAGATGGGAAATAAAACTGAGGTCCTGTGCATGTAAAAAAACTCTTGAGAAAATAACATATTTATATTTGTTAGGAATGTAGCCTCAGATATATTACTAGAAATACTGTTTTGGTAGAACTTATTATTTGTTGGGTGTGGGTTTATATTTTAGTGGAAAAAATCATGTGGTTTCAATGTGATTTACATCACTACAGGCATATTCTGGTCTACTTCATAACCATATTTCTCAACCAGTGTCAAACATATCTCCTTGCTCGTCAGATTAGGTACTTCGCCCATAATTTCTTGGTAAACACCCTCTCACAAACCCTTGCAGTCCTCGGGGGCCCTATTAACGATATAAATATTTGGCTTTTGTGCTCATACATGGTCTTGTGCGTCATATGATACAGCAGTCAACACGCACCTGAAAAACTGTTATCAATTGCAGACATTTTGACAGAAAGGGAGATAACTCTCTATTACCGTTAATGGAGTTCCCAAATTTTGTATACTCCCTTGTCCATTATGTTTTCTACATTTTGGTTTAAATCAAAATTTAACCTACGGTATATCATATTCTTTGCCGAGGATGAAAGCATTGGGAGTTTTCACCAATATTTAATTGATGTCATCTTCACAATTGTTAGTATAAATATAGCATTTACTTGACAATTATCACAATTTTCATCTGGCCCTATTTCGCTTGGAACTCTCTGGATTTGTGTTCCTGGCACTATAACCTTTCCAAAAAATGCTAGTTTGTTTTGTAGGGAGGACCTTGTAGCGGTATTGTGTTTCTAAGCAAGCTAGAAATTTTGACTGCATTCCTAAATAGATCATACTCAAATTACAAAATCTGAAAAAATAAACCCTATAACACCAAAAGCTGCACCATATAAAAAAATAAAAGGTTGCCAGGCAATTAAACATATTTCCAACAACAGCAGTTAATTAAGTTGTCCAAAGAGTTGTGAGCTAAACAAATTTTCAAAAATATATGATCATTATTTAAGCCTCTACGACAGTGCTAACAGGAATTTGTAACAATAGGGTTCTTTCTTTCAATAAGATGACAACAGATATGAATTTCCGAAATATCTGATCATCACTGAAGTGTCTACAGTGCTGACAGGATTTTGTAACAAAGGGAAATAACACTGGCAAATTAATGGGGTTTAACGCCCCCTTTATCAGCAGGAGGAAACCAGTCGAGTGGTCCAAGACTGAGTCTGTCATTGAGTCATGTTGTGTGGTTTCAATCCCAAGTTTTATAACAGGGATTAAAGTTGCCACCGAAACTTGTGTGTTTTCCCCTGGTTTCCTGCCACTGCTATGTTCAAGCTTTATTATATACTAGCAGGATACCCGGCTTTGCTCGGGGGTCATAACTCCGAAACCGGAAGTGGTAGACTAACGCCACCTGGCCTATGTTACTCCCCGGTCCGAGCTACCCCTATACCCGAAATTTCAGACTCGGGGCAGACCTAGTGTAGCCGCCAACGCCGAACAGACAGACAGACAAACAGACAAGCGACAGTCACAAATATTAGTATAGATAATCCAAGGAGATTATTAATTCTTAACTGTTTTTATTCTAGAACTACAAGCAAATATCATTGAATACAGCCATTGAATAACCTATGGATGTATTCAATGGCTTGAAAACGTACTACTTTTGTCAAGAATAACGTCACTTTCATGATGTTATAGAATGAAAACAGAACTCAATGACCACTGAATACCGCTCGGGTTATTCAATGGTTCAAGAGAGTGTATCCCTGCACAAGTATTCCACGAGCGCTAGCGAGAGGTATTCAATGGTCATTGAGTTCTATCTATCTATTACAGATGAATGAAGTCATTTCAGCATTTGAACAATGTGATGCTGAAATTGAAGCTATATTTGATAGAAACTCTGGAACTACAAAGTTTAAAGGGCTTGCTGGCGATATTATGGCTGTTAAGTCTATTTACGACCAACATCATATTGATCAGCGCCAGTTTTTCGACAAAGCTCAAACACTACAGCTGACTCACCAGTGGGTTTTTATTGAAAATAGCGATTTGGGAAAAACCCGTAAACCATATGATACCCTATGTAATTATAAGATAGAAATGGCCTACACAAATGGTGAAAATGATCTTAGAATTAAAGATTCCACAGGCAAAGAATATAAAATAGATTTTATTGACATGGTAGAGAAAGCAGACGAGTGTATTCCTATTTTAAGAACAACACCCTATCAAGGTATTTATTATATGTTTTAGTTTAGTCCTGTCATTGAGATTAGTTAGTTAGTTATCAGTATCTGGAAAACCTTTTTGCCTCTGGAAGATCTTGCTGGTCAATGGAGTTTAACATCCTATATTTCTGCACCGACTGGGCTAAGTTTACCCTGCTTACTCTTGTTTCAAATTTCAAGGTTTTTTATGTGTACACAGGACCTCGGTCATTTGTCTCATCCGAACAACTATACATTCCCATTGCGGGGGGAGAATCATGTCAGAAAATCCAGATGAACTTTCATGGCCAACGCAGGGGTCCAACATGGGATGTTAAACTCCATTTCTCTCTCTTTGCCCACTTTGTAGAATCTTCTGTATATTCAAGTTCAAGAAAGATATCAATAGATAATTACCTCGAAATTGAATAGCTCTTACATTGATGACTCAAGAGAATATTTTTTACAATTTACAGATATGAAATGCGAACCACCAAACGAATGGGGTCAGTTAACCAGAAATTTAACACTTGAAAGTTTAGATGCAAGGAAGAATGATTACCAACGTATTGCCAAAATGTTTATAGATGGACTGGGCGTTGCTAGTCCCCCTCAGATTGTTAGGGTAAATATTTCAGTATCATAGGATCTGTCATTGAGTCAATTGGCAGGGATTCGAGACATTGGGACACTTCAAACACTTAATTTGTTTTGTCTTGTCAATATGTGGGGTGGGAGGGGGAGGACACACCAATGAAGATGGGTACCAAAATGCACAACTGAAAAGGGGGGAAATCCACACTGGAAAATCACACCAGGATCAGGTCCTAGTATCACAGAACTTTAACAAGGATCGTGTATAACTTTCTCGCATAAATAAATTATAGTCCATAATTACAAATAAAAAGTAAATGACGATATATTAAACTTATCGAAGTTATTCCTGGAAGCTCTGCCTTATTTTTATCATGACTTTATTAGATTGACCTGGTGAAGAACATAGGGGTGTATCAGCGATATATGGCTATGAAGAATCAGATGGTCAGTGAAAATGGTGGAAAACAAGTTGATAGGCAATTATTTCATGGAACAAATCTGGAAGCAACGACAGGAATCAACAGAGATGGTTTTAACAGAAGTTATTGTAGTAATGGTATGTTGAGTTCATTAATAAAAACAATTAGCCACATAATCTATTTTTACTGCAGTTAGCCACAGAATCTATTTATTCTGCTGAAAGAAGATATTGATATGACTGATAATTGTCGTTAAAGCATTTTGAAGATCGATAGTCGATACATATTGAAAATATCAATAATCAAGCAATTATAGGCAATGGGAGGAAACCGGAGGACCCAGAGAAAACCCACAAGGTTGGATAGACGACCTTACTCTTTGCCACGTACAAGCGGGGATTTGAAACCACTCCGCTTGTCTCAATAACAGATCTTGTGATCAGGCGCACACACGTTAACCATTTGGCCACACAATCCCTGCAAGTTGAAAGCAAATAGTTCCTGATGACCTAATGTATTGTGGAATATAGAAATTGTATAGATATCATAGTGACCAAGAGTCAAAAACATGAATTAAGCCACTATACAACGCATTTTGTGCAAATGAGAAGCACTACCAGAAATAAACTGTTATGTAGAATCCGTTTGAAAGGGAAATAAGTGTCTGTCCCTGTGTCCGTCCGTTCACCTTTTGTTTGTGGACACTCTACAGGGGACAATTTTTATCTGATTTTAACGAAACTTGAAATATAGGTGTAAAACCCAACGATCTCAGTTCCTTTCGAAACTGGCATAAATCGGGCCGTAACTCCATGGAATATGGCCCCTGATTGTACGAAAAATCACGTTTTTAGCTTGTGGACACTCTAGAGGTCACAATTTTTATTCAATTTTGATGAAACTTGAAATGGATGTTTATAACCCAAGGATCTTGGTTCCTTTCGATATTCATGCAAAATAACTTCCTGGATTATGGCCCTTGATTGTACAGAAATCCAGTTTTTAGCTTGTGGACCCTCTAGAGGTCACAATTTTTGTCCGATTTAAAAAAACAAACTTTTAAATATGCCAGTTTGAATTTCGTGAAAATCAGATAGATACTGCCCTACAAAATGGCCACTCCTTATACACAAATAGTATAAAAATATGTAATTCCAAGGTTATGAACCCTCTTGAGGTCAGAATTTTTATTGATTTTGATGAAACTTAAAATATACGTTTATATCCCAGAGATTTCGATTCTTTTTTATATTTGTGCATATCGGACTATAACTTCTTGGATTATGTCCCCTGATTGTATGAAAAAGTGCTTTTTTAGCCTATTTTCTGTCCATCTCTTGCAAAATGTGGGCGTCGTATCTTGCATGGCAACCGCTTGTACTTATTAGTATTGTTCTGCCAAAAGAAATAAAGATATGTTGAGTGGTGACGGGTCTGTCTTCCAAACAAAGTTGATTGAGTTTAAAAATCACCTTTGTTTTGGTATAGAATGGTTTTATTTTATTGTCAAATCAATGACATAATTTCTACATGTATATGATATTACAGCATACACTCAGATATAATTCGTTATTATGCAAATTATAAATGTTTTCAAAATAAATTGTAAGTAAAAATAATTTGGCGGATATTATCTATGATCTGACTTGTCTCTGTGTATTTCTAGAATCAGCTCATGGACAAGGTGTATATTTTACTGCTGACAGTTCATATGCTGTACGTGATAATTATTCTAGAAGAGATAAAGATGGTCAGAAATATGTTTATTTAGCAGATGTACTAGTTGGTGAGTATAACATAATATTATCGTATTACTCTCGCATACGCAGTTGTCTGACTCCATATATCGCTGAAGTATTTAGTTGATGAGTATTGTTGAGATCTTTACATTTGGACGGTGGGGTGGTCTAATGTATGATTTAGATCATTGGGTCTGTAATGGAGTAAATTGGGGTGGTTTCAATTCCAATCTTGCATGTGACAATGAGTATAGTCGCTTGTCCAGCTGCGTGGGTTTTCTCTGGGTTCTCCAGTCTCCTCCCACTGCTAAAGCCCCCGATAAATAAAATTGTACCATATGTTAGTCCCGACATGAATTAGTTTGTGTCGTGGTCATCAGACTGCCTCATCTCCCTCCCTTCACACCACACATTCTCACCCGGCCCTTTCTTTCCCATCTCTCTCCCCTCTCTCTTTTTTCTCCACCATCTCTCTCTATTTCTCCCTGACGAAACATTCCTTGATAGTTCACTGCATGCATGGCCTATGACAAAGAGTAGGACCTTAAACCTCATTTCATTCCTTCATTTCTCTGTCTTTCTTTCAGGGAATTATCAACTTGGTAGAGAAGAAAGCCAACGAGTTCTTCCACAAGGTGTTCATTCTGTTGTAGACAGCTTAGACAATCCAAGAACATTTGTTATTTTCACAGATAATCAAGCTTATCCTAAATATCTGATTGTATTTAAATAAAATATTCAAATTATGTCAATGGAAATCAGTCAATCTATCAGATTTATCTTGGTTAAATATTATTTTGTAGATTTCATTGTGAGTTTGTATGTTGATTTGTGGTCGTTCCTAGTTTTACCATCATCTATAATTAATGCAATTTTGAGATTCCTAATTTTACCATCATCCATAATTAATGCAATTTTGAGATTCCTAATTTTACCATCATCCATAATTAATGCATTTTTGAGATATATTATTTCTGTTAATATTAGTACTTTCTGAGATATATTATTTGTGTTCACATTGGTACTTTTTGAGATATATTATTTGTATTAATATAAGTACTTTGTACTTTTTGAGTGACATTTAGTAATTGAACATTATTGGAATATGGAATAACAATTACTGGTTTATTAACATGATAGTCACCCTCGTCTTTATCAAGCAAATGATAACATATGCATGTATGAAATATCTTTATTTAATGTTCGCTTCCACCAAAGTGATACCGCAGACAAGGGATAACATATATACATGTATGTATATATATATATGTATTGCTTTTTATATGTATTCATATAGGACTTCCTGTTTACACTGTATATACTAAGGTAAGTCATTGATCACCAATTAGCCTATTATATGGCTTTGATCAAGCGCTTATTAGTATGTATGACTTTCTTTTAATGTACCGGTATATAAATACTTGGGTTTTATTTGATGATTTGGGGGGATGGAATGGCCTGGTGGTCTAGAGTGTCATGCTGCGATCTCTAGCTGGCCAGTCACTTCTGGTTGCAATTGTGGTTTCGATCCCTGGCGTGAGCGTATGTGGCTTGGAGATAGGGGTTCCTTCTCAACCTCGTTTACTCTGGGTACACTGGTTTCCTGCCACTGGAAAGACCCCTGGAGGTGGCCTTAAGAAATAGGTCTAACCCAGATCAACAAAGTAAAAATGATTGGGGTGCCCAAGTTGTAATTTGACGTTGATTCCATAATGTAGTAAGGTTTTTGAACATTTAAAAAAGTGTAATTCAACATGGCGCCCCAGGGGTTTAATATATTGTGGCAGTCAAGATTTTGACTAAAATGCCTTGGAAATCGGAAGTTTGAGGTGACTGGTATATGACTCTCTTTTGTAAACCGAGGTGATTCACTTGTCCATTAGATTAAGTGGGCAAGTAGGCTCATCCTTTGGTTATGTGAATAGCTCCTTTTAACTAGATCGGCTCTGGACTGGTTTGTTTCTATAGTAGCTCTCGTTGTTGTGAGTGTATTATTTTTTAGCAAAGAGAATATCTTCCGTCAAATTTTTTATGCGTGAACTATTATGTTGTCACTTTGTCTGTTAACTATTGGCAAGTGAATGCGATGGAGGCAACTGTTTATAATGCATTTTTTTCAAATTTGGTGCAAAGTATTAGAGTCATGAGATGACAAATCCTATCTGGGTCATGAGAAGACGAATCCTGTTTAATTTATGTTAAGTGAGCTTCTGCTCTGGAGTTACTCCCTTTTTTTGTAAACATAGGAGATGCTCAATTGAACGTTCCGGAATTGAATTCTGTCAAATCCAAAAATAATGACAATCGAGTGAAAATGGGATTTGGGGCTAGAACGCATGCGCTGACTGCCTGAGAAAATATCTCAACCAACCATGACAGCTGCAACATATTCATTAGATTTAATTACCTCACGATTCTACTCACACCACCTCAGTTGTCGGTTCTGACAGAACTGTGACAGGACTAAATTCTACGTCACTCGAATGCAATTCCGTCAACTCAGAATTTTCCGGACTGACTATCGAGCATCCCCCATTCGAATGCGATGGAAGCCAGTTTGCCAATTTAGTTTGATCCATTGGGGTCATGAGAGGACAGACACTAGAGGATGAATCCTATTGATTTTCAAATTTGGTGTGAAGCATTGGGATTGGAGAGCATGAATTCTGTTGATTTTCCGCATTCTAGGGAGAGAGAGAGAAATGGGGTTTAACGTCCACTCGACACAAACTAGGTCATTTCGGGACTAACATATGGTTTAATTTTATTTCAATAATTCGCTTGCGCGTAGGGGTCTTTAGCAGTTGGAGGAAACCGGAGGACCCGGAGAAAACCCATGTGGTTGGACAGGCGACCCTACTCCTTGTCACGTACAACCGGGGATTCGAAACCACGCCAGTCGACTCAATGACAGACTTTATGATACAGCGCGCACACGGTAACCATTCAGCCATCCAACACCTCCTCCCCCCCGCATTCTAGGACTTTTTGTTCGAGAATGGAAAAGTTGTGAACAGGATAGATCAAGTGTCTATGACTATATTTTTTTTATCTTGGGGCATATAGCTGCTGTGTGGACATATTTATCATTTATTTATTATTAGCTATATTATCTTCTCCCTATTGAGGAATGAAAATCAATTTGTTTTTTTATAGAATCACATTGTTTTATAGATATTTTTTTACATGGATTTTTTTACATGGATTTTTACTTTCATTTTGTTTTACGGTCATTCCATGCCAAGTGGACCAGTGCTTTTTGGGTGACGCCCACAGAATATTATGAAAAAATAGGGGTACCCAATTGCAAATTTTAAACCACTATTCTATGACACAATTTTGATGTACTGGTTTTATGTCTTCAAGTTTGGGGATTTGAAAGAAATTTTAGGGTGACTCCCACAGAATATTATGAAAAAATAGGGGTACCCAATTGCAAATTTTAAACCACTATTCTATGACACAATTGTGATGTACTGGTTTTATGTCTTCAAGTTTGGGGATTTAAAAGAAATTTTTATCCATATTAATAATCCTCCATTAGATTTCCCTAACAAGTATGGTGTTTATTAAGTGCCAAAAACCATTACTTGTGAGAAAAAAAGAATATTTTGAAACAATGTAGGTTGTTACTTGTCACATATCTGTAAGTACTATAACATATATCTTTTTTATAATATTCTGAGGAGGTTACTGAACAATTTTGCTAGAATTTCGTCCACTTGACATACCCTATACAGAAATTTGTAATAAACATAGTTTTCACCAATAGGGTAATTATGATTCTCAGTTTATCTATTTGTTTTTTTACCTGTCAATTTTGGTCCTAAGTATAACTTTAGTATCTTCTAACTGGGATGGGGTCTAATTTTACTGTGTGTTCCTGTATCATTTTATTGTTTGTTCTGTGGGGTTGGAGGAGACAATGGGGGGTGGGAGCGAATGATGTGACACTTGCTTGTTAGATGATCAGGTCTTTCATCGAGTTGAGTAGCCACGGTGGCTAAGTGAGCAAGACACTGGCTTGTAGCTGGTTCACTCCCGGCGTTGGTTTGGAAAGTTCATCTTGATTCTCCAACGTGGTTTCCCCTTGTCAGTGGTACAAGATGGAGGGCCTGACAAGGACAGCTATCTAGTCGTGGAGATGAGACGAAAAACCGAAGTCCCGTGTACACATTAGCCTGCACGTAAAAGATACCTTGACAGTTGAAATTTGATATAAGAGTTGGTTGTAGCACCGCTGTCCAGGCAAAATTTCATCCCTTACAGCACACTGTATGACATTAGCGGATTAGCCCAAGAGTATGCTCGTCTTCATTAGCCCAGTCGGATCAGAACAGTGGGACATTAAACCCCATTTTATTTCTTTTATTGTACGTGACAAGTAGTAGGGTCACTTGTTCAACTTTGTGCGTTTTCCCTGGGTCCTCCAGTTTCCTCCCTGGCCTAAAGACCCCTCTTCGCCGCCCAAGCGATTTGAATCATATGTTAGTCCCAGAATAACCTAATTTTGTGTAGTTTATGTTATGTTATCAAATGAAATGGTCATAATATGTATCATAATATCATATTCCTATATAACAAGAATAACAATTTTTCTTCTCTTTTGTTTGTATATACAGATGGTGGCTAAGTGGGTAAGGTGCTGGCTCGCTAGAATGGAGGTCGGGTGTTCGATCCCTGCATTGACCGAGAAAGTTCATCCAGATTTTCAGGCGTGGTTTCCTGAATGACCTGACAAGGACATCTGTCTAGTCGTTTGGATTGGACAAAACACAGAGGTGCTGTGTACACATTGGTGTGCACGTAAAAGATCCCTTGACAGTTGGAATTCGATATAAGAGTAGGCCGTAATGCCTGTGTTCGGCCAAAATTACCCGCATAGCACACTGTATGGCATATGCCCCTCTTTATTAGCGAAATCGGGGCAGAACAGTAGGACGTTAAACCCCATTTCATTTCATTACCTAATTTATATAGCCACACTATGACCTACTCTTATTACGAATTCCAACTGCCGAAGGAATCAATAACGTGCACAGGACCGCGGTTTCCGTAAATCCACACGACTATACGTTGTCCCTGGCTAGACCCTCAGTCCTGTATCACTGAAAAGGAGGAACCATGTTGGAAAATCCTGATGAACTTTCTCGACCAATGCCAGGATTGTGTTACCAACTGAGCCACCGTGGCCCCATATAAATTAGGAAAGAAACAGATTTTAATCATGTTTTAAATTCAATCTGATTAAAACACAGACCCTATATTTCGTTTCGTTTTTATAGTTCAAAATTTCGTTTTACTTGTCTTTACTACTCTAGGATCTGGAAGAGTTGTTATCACTGACGTGTTCTAAATGATGTGATGGAATAGCTAATGATAATGAAACGGTATGTTACGGTGAGCTTTAGGCGTGTTTTGCGCAGAACTGTGGGTAATCCACTAGTAACATCAATGCTGATTGGTTAATCAAATTTCTGAAGTCATAAGGTCAAAAGCTGCTCGTCAGGTTTTCATGTAGTGTAGGCCATCGAAAGTATAAAAAAACGAAACGAAATATTGATCAGATTGGTTTAAATTGGTTGTGTTGATTGTAAACTTTCAACAAAAAGAGCAGAAAATTAGAAATCAGATCACAAGTTTTATTTTTTATCATGTTTAGTTGTGTAATTGTAAAGTTTCTACAAATAAAACAGAAAATTATAAATCAGATCATGGTGGCTAAGTGAGTAAGACGCTGGAGATCGCGGGTTCGCTTCCGGTGTTGGCCGAGAAAGTTCATCAGGAATTTCCGGCGTGCTCTTCTCTTCTAAGTGGTGCAGGACGGAGGGCCTGAGAATGACAGCTTTCTAGTTGTTTGGATGAGATGGAAAGCCGAGGTCCAGTGTACACATTGGCGTTCATGTAAAAGATCCATTGACCTTTGGAACCCGATATAAGAATAGACCGTACGTAGCGCCACAGTGGCAAAATTTCCCTCATAGCACGTTATGGCGTAGGCCCGTCTTCATTAGCCCAGTCGGAACAGAACAGTATTACGTTAAATCTCATTTCTTTTCACGAAGCAACGACCGTGAGCATCAGATTTATGGAATAAACGGGGCAGCAACAGATAAAAAGTGGGAATATTCTGGTCATCGTCTGTCACCTATAAATGTGTATGTCAGTATAGTAGATAGATATATTTGCCACAAACATGTAAACCATATGATTCAAAACCCTTTTTAGACCTAATTTGGGGGCCTTAGTTGTATCGCAGTCAGCTCCAGATCCTTTTTAATCAGACCCTGATCCCTATATTGTTTCCAGTAGACCAGTGGCCATTACACTAGTCAAAGGAGGTAAATCTCTTTAAAATCCTAACTGGTTGGTCTCAGACTAGCAATTATTTGTCCATTGACTTCAATGTTAAATGACTGTAACATCACAGGCTGTAGCTTTTTGCTCAACATTCCGTTGGTTCCAATCTTTATAGGCACAATGGGGACAACATTTGGCAATCTCCTCATCATAATTTTGTAGGGGGTTGACCATTTAGATTATTTGCTACACGGATTTGAAGTTGACAGGGGTAAAAATCTCACTTCCGACACAATGATTGCTCTGCAGAAAGACACTTTACACCCCCTATCCCTCCGCTGTAATATCATCAGTATTACCCAAAACTGCTATGAAATTGCAAATTTGATCCCTTTTCTCCAATTCTAGACCAAAAAGTCAACCCAAAAATGCAGGAAGAGGGAAGAAAAAAATTAAGGGAAAAATTGTCTATTTATAACTCGCACTACATTCGTGAAATAAGGGGAAATAATTACTAGTCTTAGTCCTATATACCTCACATGTTTCTGCAGTTTAAACAAATCTGTTGTTATCTAATAAACAAACATATATGCAATTCCCTGGCCAAAGAATATGAAAATCTATGCATTTTCAGATGAGCTGTGCGGCATTCTGCAAACACTATAATACATCAGAAAACTGCGGAATTTCAGACAGAAATTTAAAAGCACATGAAGTTTGAATTAAAAACAGAACATTTTTATTTTTGAACATAAATGCATTCTGTAAAAAGATGAGATAAATTCAATATAAATCAAACACGAAAATACTTTAAAACAGTAATCATGATGCAATATTAGACTTTTTAACACTTTCATCGAAAACCACACAGTTTTTCTCTGTTAACGTTGTTTCAAGTGCCAAATTGTGGGCAAATCTAAAATGTTAAAACATGCAGTGCCTATCAATTTTAAAATATCTCCTATATAGCTGTATTTCCATAGGATAAGTAAGTTGAAATAATCTGATTATGTAACACTACAACAGCTTTTTCATCCCCACCCCCCAGTTTGGAATCTGATAATTTAAAAGCACATGAATTTTGAATTCCACAGAACATTTTTATTTTTGAACATAAATGCATTCTTCAAAAAGATGAGATGAATTCAATATAAATCAAACACGAAAATACTTTAAAACAGTAATCATGATGCAATATTAGACTTTTAACACTTTCATCGAAAACCACACAGTTTTTCTCTGTTAACACAGTTTCAAGTGCCAAATTGTGGTCAAATCTAAAATGTTGAAACATGCAGTGCGTATCAATTTCAAAATATCTCCTATATAGCTGTATTTCCACAGGATAAGTAAGTTGAAATAATCTGATTATGTAACACTACAACAGTTTTTTCATCCCCACCCCCCGGTATGGAATCTGATACATTGCTGACCAGTCATAGGTCGCCCTGTTCACTCGGGCCTGTCAAAAGATTTACAATGGCGATGGTGCCTACAACTTTCCTAACCAAGAGATATGCACAACCGTCGATGAACACACAAGCCATTAATGTTATCTTCCAATATGAGAGGCCATGATAAACACACGGGCGTCCTTTTCAAGCTCGGAAATTAAGTCATCACCAAAAAGCAATGTTTACAGAGGTCCTCGGGGCTAGAACCCAAACTGATTACGATTTGCCCTCCACTTCCACCACAGGTGTCATAGAGATCAGGGATGAAATTGATATGCATCATCGTTCTCCTAAAGCCAGTCCAGGAAGACATCAGGTTTTGAGATGTAGACCTGAAATGTTAAATTTGGATGAGAATGAGAATTCTGGGGCGAATACTATCCAGGGAAACGGTCATTGACATCCAGAAAATGGTCAAAATGTGGAATTCTGTCATTCAGTTAAATGTCAAGGGGAGAAGACAGGCCTGTGCAGTACCAAATTTCCAGCCCATTACTATTAGTGAGCAGAAGTGGGGATCAGGTTGGATGTACTTCTTAAAGTGTATGAAATGCACATTTATCTCACCGGTTTTGCTACTTTTTTTTTAATACTTGTGTTGAGGTCAATCATTCCACTCTATGAAACATTACCCTGGCACCTGAAATGATAGAAGGCTGGGGATAAATATGCAATAAAAAACAGTGAGAAAATAAGAAAAAAATATGGTTTCAACTGGAAATAGAAATAAACCTCTTTATTTCTAGCGAACAGCCCGTCACTGGCCCTCCAAAAAGAAACCAGTTAACAGTCAGTAAAAAAGTAAACCTTGAGTGTCACATAACTCAGTCTAAGCCAATCTCAAAGGTAGATGCCATGTTTTAAGGTTCGGTCTAAATATTAAGGCCAACTGCATGTTTGGTCAAAAGTCACACAGGTGTGAATTTTGGAGTGTACATGTTAACATTTCATTGTATGATGTCAAAAACATGTTAGGTCTAAATGTTAAGGCCAGCTGCAGACTTGGTTCAAGGTCGCAACATGTAAATAGGGTTAGGGCACATGATTTTTTGACACAATTGTGGGTTTGGGCTAGGGTCAGGACTAGGTCTTGGCTTAGGCCTAGGCTACATGCTTTTTGACAAGATTGTGGGTTAGGTTTAAGAATTTGGGGGGAGAGGTTAAGTCTCCACATAAGCACTGACTTAGGATGATGAAAAATTAGTTCGTGATATTTCCTAGTTTTATTAAAATACATACAATACATTAGATTTATATACAAAGGCGATTTCACTGTTTATTGGTGTTGGTGGCGCTGATGGTCTTCCTTGGGTGGTGCTTCTGGTATTCTGGTATTATTGTTTCTGAAGAGAAAAGAAAATAAATTTGAGGCTCTCGGGAGAGAGCCACATTAGTGTGTTTCCTACAACGGATTGGATTTTCTAAAAAAATCGTGTTTGTTCCACATCACCGGGTTACGGCTAGGGATTCTTATATCTATTTGATTTTAATTACTAACGGTTAGGCATAGGATTTGATATATGGTTTGTTTTGGGCCAGGGTGGAGACTGGTCTTATTTAATCTAATTTACTGTGCACTAGGATGTCGTTCAGATTTTTATTTTTAGAATATGCAATTATAAGTTTCTGTGTGAATATTTTCGGGTGATTTTCTTGGAGATCAGTATAGTGTTTTCTGATGATTTTGGACGCACTTGCTGCTGTTGCGCTAAATGGAACTACAAAAGGAGCTATTGCGCTAGCCGTATGAATATTCAAACCTAGGGGGGCTGTTGTTTTCAATTTGTCAATCCAGAATTTTTCTCTTGTTAGCCTAAACGTTTTAATTTCTTCTGAAGTTTCAAAGTCGCTCTTGGTCTTTTCTATTGGCGTGACAATGAGATCTGAAATGTCATGATTTGGTTGGTTGAAATGAATTGAGACAGGTTTGTCTTTTTTGGTGACTATGTCAGACCGGTGACCGTTAATTCTTTCCCTAAGTACATTTTGAGTCTCCCCTACGTATTGCTTGTCACATTTTCTGCATGAGATTAGATAAATTATGTTTGAACTACTGCATGAAAGTTGGTCTAATATTGGGAATTTTGTGCCAGATGTTTTGTTATGGAAATGGTCGGATATGTTTAAGATTTTGCATGTTTGACATCTTGGATGGCCACAAATTTTGGTTTTATGTGCTGATTGTATATTATTTGTTTCTTTGGCGGCAAGCTCAGCTAGAGTGTTGTTTTTTATACGTCGTAGATAGCGTTTGGAGTATCCCCTTTCCCGTAGTTTGCTAAATACCAATGTACATGCTGACTCAAAGTCGGTCTTCTGAGTACATATCCTATGAAAACGGAGAATCTGAGATTTTATGATGCCAGAGAATGTATGTTTTGGGTGAAAGGAGCTTTTGAACAATAATTGATGTGTGTCGGTTTCTTTGAAAAATACTTTAGTTTCCAATTGGCCTGTGATTTTGGTGTTGTTACTTTTAAAAACGGTAGTATCAAGGAAATCTATGCTGTTATGGCTTACATTTGCGGTTAATTTGACAGATGGATGATGATTGTTCAGGATGTTGAAAAACGTCCAAAATTCGTCTAGTGTGTAGGTCCAGACTATGAAAACATCATCTAAAAACCGCCCATAGAAATCTGGTTTTAATGGACAGAGTGGCAGAACTTCCCTTTCCCACTCCGCCATGAAGAGATTTGCATAACTCGGGGCAAATCGTTTTCCCATCGCAGTTCCGGAAGACTGAAGGTATACTTGGTCGTTAAAAGCGAAGTCATTCCTCCTCAGACAAATGTTGAGTAGTTTGAGGATTTCTTCGTCCGGCCTGGATGCTTGCGGGTTCCTAAGAAATGCTTTCCTAACTGCTTCAATACCTATGTTATTATCAATGTTCGGGGACTCTTAACTGTTTGATTTTCTGAATGAAATCGTTAGTGTCTTTAAGGTAGGATGGGTGTT